ATCGTTGCCATTGTTTCCTGTTGTGTCTGGAGCAGGTCTCTTGTAAACGAGTCCTTGTGGCTCCATGAAGCCAACCTGTATAAACCTGTGACAGTAACAAAGAGTGATGACAGCAGTGGATAACAAACTGTTTTTAATTGTAAAACAAACAAACAATAAAAAACTTAAATTTGTCTGAATCATTAGTGAATGTGTTGTTGTTGTTGTTGTCAGTGTGTTATCATGTTGTGCTGTGGTCCAGTGTGTTCATGGACGATGTGTGTGAGGGTGGACATGTTTGGAGGTTGCTGTGTTGAAGCTCCATGGATCAGCCTCTCTGCAGCTCTCAGCACCTTCACTGAGCTGCTCTTGTTCTTCACAGGTAGAAGGTGGGAGCTCTCCTCAAATCATCATCTCCAGCATCATCTTGTTCATGCCAGGCTGTTCATCCACTGACCACACACACCTGCAAACATCAGGGGACCAGCAGCTGTTTAACACATCTGGAAGGAAACCAGTGAGATTTAATACGACCAGTATGATATGATGTCATGTGGGGGAGTGGTGGAGCAGAGGTTACAAGATGGGCCTGTGATGGGAAAGTCGCAGGTTCAACTCCCGGTACCGTCAACATCAAAATGAGGTGGAAAAGGTGAAACACCCACACCTGCCTCCACCCTCATTGGCCCCACCCTGTTCCCCTGAGCAAGGCACTCAACCCCCACCACCTGCTCCTAAACAGGTCTCTCTTTAAAATGAGTTCTCGTGACTCAGTGAGTCGACCTGGATAAATAAAGATAAATGAAAAATAAAGTTTAAAATAGAAATACATCATGAGGCCCAGGTTGTGTGTGTGACGTGCACGTTCCTGAGGTTGTGTGTGTGTGACGTGCACGTTCCTGAGGTTGTGTGTGTGACGTGCACGTTCCTGAGGTTGTGTGTGTGACGTGCACGTTCCTGAGGTTGTGTGTGTGACGTGCACGTTCCTGAGGTTGTGTGTGTGATGTGCACGTTCCTGAGGTTGTGTGTGTG